ATCTTATCTTATGTAGCAACGTAGCCTAGAAAGGCGAAACATATCTGTCTTTCAATCTAAAAATCTCACCTTAAATACACGCGAACTAAATCTGCATTTTGGGTGGAAAATGGAATAGAGAAATGACAGTAAAGATCCAAAACATAAAATAACTGCTTAATTAAAATAAAGGAATGCATAACATCGTTCCGTTTTTTTAACTCTAAATACAAAGAAGTGTTTTCTTCTTACCCTTCAAAAACTTTCAAAAGCAGATAACAGTAATAATAATAATAACTGTAAGAATTTCTCGAGATTTTGAATTTTAGTTTTGAAATATTAACTCCATTAAAAGGCAATCAGATATTTTTAGCGGCATTACATTATTTTATATTATTATGTTTTCCGCTTTTTACTTCCTTGTACGAAGTAAAAAGGAAGTATTGTAATCGCGAAAAGTTTCAGGCATCATATTTCAACGAAAAAATTCATTTTGACCGCTATCGAATGCAATTTAGCGATGTTTTTGCGTGACATCTGTACGTAAGGACAGAATAAAAAACTCTTTTTCTCCAAAAAATTATAAAACTGATTTAAAATGAATTCTGAGGAGAATTTTTCGTGGTGTCTGTACGTACGTATCTCGCATAACTCAAAAACAGGTAGCTTCAGAACGTTGAAATTTAGTATATAGGACAGCTATAACATGTAGATGTGCACCTCGTAGTTTGGTTGCAATCGGCCGCACCAAACGTATACAAATATATATATATATCCACTTTGTTACCCGGCTCATAGATCTGTTTCTTTGCTCTTCTATGTTTGTAAATTGTGCATTTTTTGCTTTAAAAATGATTGAATTATGTTGTTCTTATCTTTCGGTTAAGGTTTTTATGCTTTTAGTAAATCTGCATGTAATATTTTTAGAGTTATCAACAATTTAAAAGTTGTTTAAGTGCGGCTAAGCCTAATCAGTGGCGGACATGTTTGTTACATTTGAAATTTGGCAGAATAGCGGATTTGTTGCCAATCTAGAAAAACTAAGCTTCGCAACAACAAAGATAACGCCTTCTTTTATTATTCTTCAACTATTATAGCTTAATCCATCCTGGAATTTATTCGAGGAAATATGCGTTTAAGATTTACTTTAATTTTTAATATCGATATTTTGAGATTTTTTGTATTTTTCCCTTGTCGGGAAGTGAGAACTGAGTTAATTGAATGAGAAATACTGAATCGTCTGTGAAAAACTGTTTCTTTTTTGTTTAGTTTATTTAATTCCTATTATATATCGTTTTAGATTCATTATAATATTTGAATAGAACATGTGACAAGGATCAGATAATTCTACAAATGATATAAATTTTGTGCATTTAAGTTATAATAAGATAAATGTAACGCTGTTAAGTGAACCTAGCGTCAGAGTGTCGCTATGGTAAACAAATACAGTGAATTTTAAAGAGTGCATTTATTCTATTGTGGTTTATGCGCTATCGACGAAGTAGATTTAATTCAATTCAATAAGTTTAAATGAAATGCAAGAAAAAATGCATATAATTTAATATTCCATACAAGGAAGTCATGTAGTGTACACATCAGAATTTTTATTTTGCTGTTTGTTGCTTTTTGACAGTTGAAATAATTCTGTTTTGTCATGTTAGGTTTAATCTATCACTATCAGAACTGTGTTTAGATATTTCTCCACTAAATCAAAAATATATCCACGCCCTTAAACACAATAAAAATTCATATGAGTGTATTATTTCTTAAACGAATTTTAAGATTTATTAATTTTAATTTAACTCTATTTCTGTAGCAATACTAAAAGTTGTTTTTACATAATAATATAAACTGATTGCAGGAATGAATTAAATAAAACATTTTTCTGAATATGTTTATAGATTTGTAATCTTTGTAAAGAATTTAGGCTATCTTGTGTGTTTCAGACTACGGAAAGAATCATAAACTAGAAATATTCTTTTGTCATTGTGCTTGACAATGCTCTACATGGAAGCTTTCGAATAGTCCCCGATGTCCATTTGTTGTTTCACACTATAACAGATCTTTGATCAGGGAATCGACAAAAATTAAATGCCATCAAAGCAATGATACAATTCGTTTTCATCCATTGCTATCCCTAAAATCTAAATTGATATCATCAAAAAAGACGAAAAAGAAAAAAGTTTCTTCCTGCCCAAAGCCTCCAAAGTGCCAACAACACAAAAGTGACGCAGGATAGGACCGTTCACAAATTTCCACGTGGCACACGCCAAGAAGAAGGAAAAACAAGCATTTCCAACTAATAATTTCTCCCATTAATTAGCCTCAAGAAGGTAATAGGATGGATGATACAATGTGACATCCTCAAGAATGTGACAAATCTACTAGCGCTATCTAACAAAAAATATTTTTCTTTAACATAGTTTTTTGAGTTTAGAGATAAAGTGCATGTAATGTTTCCAGCTTAAAGAACAAAGGGGAAAACATAATTCAGTTAAAACTACAAAATACGAAGACATAGCATGATTAATACTAAAACCACTGCATGCACTTTTATCAATTTTTTATATTTTGTAATTCCATTCAAAAATAACGTAAGTTCACGAAATTTATCATGGCTAGGAGCTCTGGATATCCTTAGCATGGGCCTTGGGTACTGTGTAGAAGACAGTGCGACTTCGTCCGGCTCCATTCCAGTTTTAAAAAAGAATCCTCCAGGGAGGAGCTCGAGTCCAAATATTCTATTACCCTTCTTCTGCCACGAAACTACTCGACAGAACTTTCGGCACTTCCGACTTAAAATACAATTTCGTGTATTTTAAATGCTTCCATGTAGCAAAGACAGGTTTCTGAAAACAGGAAATTCTAAGGTAACATATATAAAAAATATATGACGAAATTGTCACATCGAGCTTTTTCAGCTCAACAAAATACTGACACAAAGCATTTTATTTAATTCTACAGCATATTTCTGCATTAGAAAGCATTAATGTTCCTTACGCAACCACCTTAATTTTAGACTAAAATCTACCAAATTTGCAGAGGCCCACCAGCGGCCGAGCGGTAAAGTCGTTGAACAGTGGGAGTTCGATCCGAGGTTCAAATCTCGCGAACAGACTGGAGGCATGGGCGTTTTCGTAGTTTTTCCCCATGTGAAACGCGAATACGAGCCAGTTTTCTCTAGAAAGTCCTCTACGAAGGCATCCCTCCCCTTAGTTAGATAGCCCCTGTGGCTCTGCCGTAATCTCATAAAAAATCCAAAGTTGCAGAAGCAAGATCATGTACCTGCATACTGCCGATTCAGAAAATTACCAATGTGTTTAGTGTAGAATTGAAGAAGTGTGAATTGAAGAACTCTGACCATTGCGTTAAATAATACTGACAAAAGGAAGTCTAGCTTTTCGGACCTCAGCTACAGATAAAGCCTCTATATCTGTCTTTCAGTTAGAGAAAGTTACCCTAAATTCCGGAACTCCAAGAATGCAAATGTGTCATTTTTAAACTCACATTAAAAGAATTAATGATTCCAATAATGCATTACTAATTTATATTTCTTGATAATTCATAATTTCCAAACCGACTTAGATTTCCATCAATTGTATTTTGTACATGATGTATTCCATACTTTGTGTATGACAAAATCAGTTAAGAGGTTATCACACATGGCTACAGTCCCTGCTAGACGGGACTTTTCTGAGAAACGAGATTCTGATAGCACTGGTTTAAACGTAAGGATTCCTAGAAAAAAGAGCCCGCCTGAAGCGAAGTCCTGCCTAGCCACGGAAACAATGTTGCGGCTACACGGGAGTTTTTCAAACCTCACCGAAAATGTCTCGGCTGGACCTCAGTTCCGGGTAGAGACAACCAATCAGACGAAAGTTCCGCTTCTGAAGCTTCACGTGAACTCAATCTGAGCGATAATCGATTAGTGTTTGGTGTTCAAGTTTTTGCAGTAAGTGAAAATGGTAACGTGGGTTTTGCTGGAATTGTGCGGGTTCTGAGAGCCTCTACTTGGGCTTAAACACAAAAGTAAGAAATAAGAACTTAACTAATGACTAACTAAGAGATTTAGTCGAAGCTAACACAGTTCTAAAGTAGTTGGCCCATAATATTAAATTAACTAACTATCAAAAGGCACGTAATACAGCTGAGCGCAACAACAGCTTAGGGAGACGTAGCCCAGAGGCAACCGCGCGCTATTCAGGAATCCTCTCTCGAAGCCAGTTGAACTTCACTTAAATACCATTCTTCTCCACGTTTGCATTTAACGCGATTCTAAAAACTCATTCTGGTAGGGAGTTGTAAGTTGAAGCTAGATAAGATAGGAAAGATGCCTTAAATTAAAATAACTGTTATAAAATTAAATATACCTTACATATTTAAAGAATTTTCTTGTCCCATTTATTGGTACAGACTGTTAGCGATAATACTAGTTTGATATGCTTACTTTGCACCAACTTTGCTGTTATTAATATAACAATAGTTACAAATATTGAACAGAAACACAGCTTATAACAGTATGGTTTATTACTGCATGTATACAAATACGCAGAATACGCTGATTACATTTTTTTGCTTTTGTTAAAAAGATATGTTTATCCTCTAAATACATCAGATTCTGATTACGCTTAGGACTACAAGGCCTATATCTACGGCCTCGTATTTTAAGAGCTCCTTAAATAATTTTATTACTTTTTTGTTTTCTTTTCTAAAAGCTAGGATGGTGGTTTTCCCATTTTCTAGAAGAATTCTAAGCCCAGGCAGGAGATTGCCTTAATCAGGGTTTGAATTATATCTGGCATCAAACATGCGACAGGAATTCAAGCATGCAACATGCAACAGAAAAAATAGGTATTTAGGAAACAAGGCACGTGTGGTTATTGTTTACAAAAAATAGCTTTCTTTGCTTGAAAATTTTTTTTTTCCTTTTGGTGATAGTGTGACTATCATTGTTAGGTTATTATTATGCTATTATTAGTGAAGACAGGTTTTTATTATATTTATTTTATTTTGTATTTCAGATGAACCTTGTGGATATCCTTTCACATGTTCTTGTGAGCCAGGCTTGATATGTGTAAGTAAACATTTTCGTAGATATATACGGAAGTAATTTGTTTGAGTGTATTTAAGAACTTTGATAAAGTGTGACTCGATGGAGTGGATAACTCGTTATTTGCTTATTATGCAAATTATTCTTTTAAATTTAATTTCCCGATTTTATAAACAATTTATAATGTTTTACTACATTTTCATTAAAAAAAATTTTAAATAAGCTATGGACTTATATAAAAGGTCTTTCTGAAAGTAATATATCATTATAGGGGGAGGTAAACAAATTTAATTTAACAAAAGAATAAAACGAGAATCAGATGGTCGAAAATTTCCTGTTAAATCTTCAGAATTTATTACCGTTGAAAGTTTTCCTTTTTAAAAAAAATATGCTTGAAAAAAATTTTCAAGCAAAACAAGCTATTTTTTGTAAACAATAACCACACATGCCTTGTTTCCTAAATACCTATTTTTATAATTCATTTTCCTCATTCTTTAGAAAAAGCAAGCATTTACTTCGAGGTGCAGACGTGCAAACATGAGAAATGCACCGTTGCCAATCTATGTAGAAATTTACAGTGATTCCGAATCATCAACGGATGAAAACAGCGAAACATCAGAAAGCCTAGAATATGATGTCAAAGCAGATGAAAGTTATCAAAATGATCCAGATCCTGAGTATGATGAAAGTTACAGCGATGATTATTGAGTTCAAATTTCTTCATGTTAGATTAATATAAATTTACTTATTGTATCCTGCTCTCTGAAAATAAAGTATTCTAAAGTTATTTTTAAGAAGTAGTTGTAATGAACAATTTAAGAACAGATATACAGTTAATACTTTTGTTATCATCTGATAAGTAAGCGTGAGCATCAATGCTCATGCGCGGTTCAGACAGATCTATTGACAAAATGGTATAAACATGAGGAAGAGACACTTTTAGGTTCTTTTTCCTTTTCTCTTTTTTCATAAATACATTCAAGAAACTGTATGCAGAGGGCCGGACAGGTATGAAAAATTTGAAGAGCAGGGACGAAAAAGTACAAAAAAGATCATTTTACACCATATAGGTTTTTAGGCTATTTCCAAGACGAGTGTTTTTCTAGCTGATATCCTGCTTGATGGGTCTAAATGCTAGTCAGGATTACGCTAATTTTCATCTGAAACTATATGAATAATATCGCGATTTTTTTTATTTCAGATTGAATTGTTTTATCTAAGGATTTATGAAGCATACAACAAGGAACTTTCTGGAAAAATTCATTTTTAAGGCTAGAAAATAATTTCTTTTAGATAAAGTCAATGAAAATGTTTCTATAAAAAAGTGCATAATATTTCAAACACAATGAAATTATTTTAATATGTAATAGTCTAAAAACTTTCAAAATATTCTTGAACATCTCTGTTCTCTTCACTTTCCCAATTCTATTCAAATCGACTTAAAAAATTTAGATTTATTATGATTTAGAATGGTTACACAAAAATTCATTAGAGAGAAATTTACAATCGTATAACAACAGAAATATTTCCCATTAATGTTTTTTGGATTTCAAAAATCCACAAACATTTAAAAAATTGCTTATCAAAAGAAGTCATTTGTAATACTTTCAAATGTGAGTCATTCAAAATAACTTTATAATTATAAAAGAAATTCAAAAAATTCCATTGAATGCATTTTGGTACATTATTAATTCTTTCTGTAATAGCCGCTTTAGACATTAATGCTTATTTTTTAGAAGCGAATCACATTTGAGACAAAACAATTACCTATTTTGAGTCCAAGTGGTATAAGATTCCTCATTTGTCATCCAAATAGTAGCATGTTTTTCAGAGTGACAAAATGAGCAGTTTAGAACAATACTAAGTTATTAATAATATTTTGATACTTTCTAGTGGAAGCATGGTATATTGCTTCCTATACTAATAGCCTATTAATGAAAGATATTTCTGGAGCCATATAATTGCGTAATGCCTCTCAATACAGAATTTTTTCATAATCGTCTGCATCAAAAATGAAAAAGAATAACACTACTAATAATAGAAACTTTTGCAAAAACGTTTAAATTTATACGTTCTGTAATTTTAATCTAAGTTTGTTTAAATAGCAAAATTTGGTGCTATTAAATGATAAAAAATAGCATTTTTTCTACTGAAGAACAGAAGTGAAATGTTTGCATGAATTCCTACGGAATCAGCAATATAATCTTAGCATTCTTAATCCTAAAAATATCCATTTAATTTGCATGTTCCCATATTTATGAATAAATGTTTTTAATCGTAATATTGTAATGGGTTTTTCATGGATTTGTACATTTCCGATAGCAGATGTAAGCCCTTATGGTAATTTTCAGCTGTTATTCAAGAAATTTCTTCTTTTTCTCATGATAAAATTTTAAAAATAAATTTCTTAAAGCATTGTTATTTGAATAAGAATGTTTTAATCTTTAACAATGAGAATTCAAGAAAATATGCTTTAAGAATAATGAATATTTTAAGTTGATTTTAAATGAATTAATTTATAAAATTCGATAATATTCTTCATACTTTTAATGCATTTGTTTCCTCCCATCTGTAGGAAGAACAAGTATTTACTTCGAAGTGCAGACTTGCTAGGAATATGACAGATATACCCGATAAAATCTTTATAGAAATTGATACTGAATTTCTTTCATCAATAGAAGGAAGTGATGCTCCAGAAAATCTTTCTAGTACGGAGTATGTTGATGGAGCAGAAAAAAATAAAGAAGCACCTGCTGCAAATCCTAAAACAGATGAAGGAAAAGGTGGAAATAACAGTGAAGAGGAAGAAAGCTCGAAATTAATATACATTCATGGCTAGATTATTATACAATCATGCCTATATATTGCTTCATATTCTTGGAAAATAAAGAATTCTGAAATTAAATTTGAAATTAGCTCTGAAAAAATTAAATAGCTGACAGCAAAGGATGGCTTTGTCAGATTTATTTTCATGTTACCTATTTAATTATCTATTAAATATCAATTATGTTTTCTTTCTTGGTCATGCTTCCACGCGCATACTGTTCTTTCTAGAAAAATATAGTGCATACAATACTTCTATAGAACATCGATTTTTTTCGAAGATCGAGACAGCTTTGCCTTCATCGGTAATCTAACTAAGGATTTTTTTAGATGTTAATTGGATATATTAACTATTTTACCACGACAGCACGCAATGGGAAACGCAATAATTCCTTACATACTTACATAAAATGATTATTCCAAAGCCGAGATATACAGTGCGTGACGTTAGGAGGGTTTTTATTGCACATAACAATGGCGTGAATATTTATAAATATGCTTTGATCATCGTTCTGAATTCGAACTTTATTTCCTTCTCCTTTGTTAAGAGTGATTGTAACATAAACTCAACTGGTTCGACTCCATAAGCATGTAAATATATTGCCATATTAATTATAATAATTGAACATGCATTCACAAAAATTGTAAGCTGGCTATGTTATGATGTAACTGAATTTTAAATTGCGTCAGTTAGATGTATTGTTAAACAATAAAATTAATATTTTAATTATTAAAAATTGTGCTTGTTGGTTTTAAAAAACTAGTCTGTTAAGAAAATGCAGATTGATTAAAGTTGAAAAATAAACTAATAGTTTAAAAGATTTGCTAAAAACCAACTTTTGAAAATTTGGTATTAGAAAAGTCGCATAAAAGAAAAATTTAAAAAGCTACGTTTTGTCTAATGACCTGCACTTAGCATATGAAGAGATAAATGGACGGTAGCAGGGTGATTCTATACATCACCCTCCTGCTCTATGTATGATTATACAGGATGATTCTAAATTGTTTTTACAAATTGAGAGGGGTGATACTACTCATCCAGATGAGCAATAATTACCATAGATTATAGGCTCGCATTCCACTCAGAGAGGCAGAAAAGAGGAATATTAGAATTTCAACCTGAACTTACAACAGTGTTGGGAGAGCGAATGAGCGAGACCAAAAGTTGCACAATCAGTTTAGTGAAAAACACACAGTGCGCAAAACGGAAAACCTAAAACTTGGCGTTCAAGTGTTAATTCGAGCTCAGACTTTGATGGCAAACACTCAAATGCACATCTTTGGTTGGCAAAGTCTCAAGCAAGGATGAATGCGATAATTCTTTACAAGTAAACGGAAATTCCAAAGTTCTAAATATTTTTTATAAATGTTAGGTTTTTCATCGTCAAGGAGAACATTCTGCTAAGATGTAAGAACTCCTAGATTGACATGAATGAATTTTGAGTTAATCTGGAAGTAATTAGGTTTAAGAATATTTTCACAGCTTTGCGGGACTTCATAAAATTATCTATTATTTCTTTATATTAACTATACCTTTATCAGAACACAGCCTTCTACATTTTGTGTCGTTATACTAAGTACCAAGCCATTTATGTTGCTTGGAATTCTTTTTTTTCTTTCGAGACACAAAATCTTTAATTTATCTTCCAAAATTACTCATTTTATCAATCAATCTGCAACTATTCAATAAACTGACAATTTAAAAATCAATAAACATACGTCCTAATAATTTTAATCCTCATTTTAATTTTAATAATGTGTCTTATTGATGTAATTTAAAATACACTTGACTTACAAAACATCAAAATGATAACCTTTTATTAATATCTGTTGGTCACCAATATCGACTGTTGGTGGGCCTATGCTAAATAGGCTTTATACAATTGCATCTTTACCGTTTTAAATTCATATGATAGGTGACTATCAGTGAGTCGTCGAATGGCGGCCTTTTTGGTTGGCGCCCACTTTTGACGCAAGCTTGTAGGCCCGCTCTATGTCATGACAGGATTATGTGCATGCTTTGTTAGGTTCATTGTTTTGAATGCTTTGAGAAGTTATCGTTACCATTCTCTTTCCATGTTGCCTGAAGATTTTTAATTAGTAATTTGACGCAGTGAAATAAATGCCAAAACATTTAAATTGCTTTCCGTCAGTGCCCACACATCTCATTTAAAAGACATCGAATGCATCATTGTTGCAAGAGTAAGAGCCAGCCGAACGAACTCGAATCTAAGCAGAAGAAAAAAAAAAAAAAAAAAAAAAAAAAGAAAGAAAAAAGAGGAGAAAGAATCAATATGGGTTGGGAAATTATGAATTAAAAAAACGAAAAATAAATTTCATAAAAATTGTTGCAAATAAATTCTAAATTCTTTAATTAAAGAATTACTTAAATATCAAAACATCAAATATTTTTTGTGCAAAAGCAGTTGAATTTCTTCAGGAAGTAAACTTGAATCTGTAAGAACTTCTCACAGACTCCCGTGCATGATGTCTTGAAGCAAATAATTCACACCTCCATCAAACGAAGTGGAAGATCAGTTCCGTGGTTCAAATCTCGGCACAGCTGATTTTTCGTGTTTCTCAACTCTGAAAATCTAACAGTCTTTACATGTTTAAAGTTCTTTAAAATATTTGCATTACTCATGGTTTGCATATTAAAATGAAATGCAAGTTCAAATTCAAACTAACCGAGGCTCTCCACTGCCCAAGGGGTAAAACACAGCAGTAATAAAAAAAAAAGCAAACTAAAACATCACTTTTCTTTCGCTAAGGGGATAAACAACGACACGAAGCAGTTTTAGCAGCCGAAAAAAGTTTGCTTTATTTGATTATGGCAAAGCACTTAAGGGCTATCTGTCTAATGGGAGGTGTGCCTTCAATAAGGGTTTCCAAGGCTGACTGGCTTATACACATGTTTCACATAGTAAAAACCACAAAAGCGCCCATATAGCGAGCCCGTTTGACAGGATTCGAGCTCCGGACCGAACTGCCAGTGTTTAACGAATTAATTATTCGGCCGTAGGAGGACCGGACCGGATAAAGCGATAAAAATTCACCAAATAATCTCACGAGTAACAGTTAGCCCTCTCCGCCCGTTTCTGCTTAACCAGTACAATAAACAGCAAGGACAAAAGAACTTCCTTATCTCTTCGCAACATAGCTGCTTGAGAACAGCAGTTAAAAGAATCAAAGATTTTAATAATCAATTACTATTTTAAATTTTTTAATAATTAAAAAAGAATACACGAAATTAAAATTCTATACTAATTTTTCATAAGGGTAAATTAATTTAAATTCTTATCAGTCATTCACAACAGTTCCTCTAGGATTTGAAGGAAAAAAGTTTTCTTATAACAGAAATTTTCGTACCTATCTTCTGAACAAAACTCAACTATCAGTATCATAGTGTCACGGAGACTAGTGACTACCATATTCACAACGATTGAAATTAAGCTTTAAAATCAATCTTAAGTCTCAAAAATATAAAATTAAACACCAACTTAAATTGTGAAAGATTGAAACATACTCTATTCAAGTATACTACCTTAATGCAATTCTGGTACTAAAACTCTCCCCAGTAGAACGGTGTTTGAGACACCAGGGTGCCTAGGCCGAAGGCCTTACCCCTTGTAGAACACTTGGTGGCTTCGAAAGATGAACTAAAACTCTCACAAAATAAAATTAAATAGTAAAAGACATATGTTTGTTTGTATTTAATTTTAGTTGTAAGTTTAACATATAATCATGAGTAAATAACTTATGCCCTAATACAATTAAACTAACAAGAATAACACATTCTGTATCTCTCAACTACAAAAAATATGCAAATTAAATGCAAAATGGAACAAGCAGATAATTAGCATATGGTTAAATCTCAACATAACATAATTTAACATACAGGGAATTCAACAAACTCAATGAAAATAAGTCAAAAAGAATTTAGAGAAATTTTTCAGAAGCGACAGAGGAAATAAAGTTTGGTTCAGAAAAAGAAATTTGTGGTTCCGAGTCCGGACTATGAAAACAAGAATATCGAAAACCGAACCATGAAGTTATGATCCCAAGAAATAACGCACAAGCAAAAAAAAAAAAAAAAGTAGTTTAGATTACATGAATTAATCACATCAAAATAAAACTTTCCTATAAGAAAGATTCTCCAAAATGTCAAAACTGAATCCAAAATTCACATTTAAAAATTTAAGATATCCTCACTTTTTTCAAGGAAATAGGCAGTGACCGAAATGAAATAAATTAAAACACTAACAAAAACAAAAACTGTGAAAATAAACGTAAAAGTCTATACAATACATAAACACTCGGCCACTGTTTGCGCACTACGCTTTATATTGGTAGTTTAATTTGGGTTGAAATCACAACAAGCGAGCTGCCTGCATTGCAGTTTTCCACGTTTTCTCCATGTATAACTGAGTACGAGTCAGTTTCCTTTAAAAGGACCTCTACCCTCCTACATCTTCAATGAATACTTATAAAAGGTATTCGTTCTCTTAGGCAGATAACCCTAGTGTGCTTTATCGCAATCTAATAAATACAGATTCAGTCAACTTGGTGAATATGCAGAATTTTTTGCATATTCTGCATTACGTATACGCAGAATAAGCAGAAAATTCTGCATTTAGGTAAATCAGTAAATTTTGCTTAATAATTATTTTACCAAAAAAAAAAAAAAAAAAAAAAAACCTGTTACGAAGGAAATAAACATGCCACATCAAGCAGCTGTTTAGCACCTGTTTTTTGACCAAAACACAAAAGCATAAGAAATGTGAATGCTGCCAATAACTGTGTCAGCAGCAGAGTACAAACAAAATATAAATAACAATTTTTTTCCTATTTGATTTATTGTCAACCTAGTCAGTCAGTTTCTAACAGTAATTATTCTTTATCAATGTATGAATAAAAGAGTTAATTACATTGCTTTATGGAAGCAATTTTTTGAAAGTTCACTCTTTTATGTTTTTTCTAAAACTTTGTTAGACTTCTCACGGTTTGGCATATTATGCAGGCCTTTATCTGAAACCAAATGCAAAATCACGCTGTACGAAAAGCGCACTTAGCAGCAAAACAACGCATGCGATCTATAATATATTTTGTGAATATCTATTTTATTTAGTGTCTTATATATAGAATTCATTAATTGAAATTAGTAAAATAAAAGGCTAAAATTAATTGATTAATACCTATGCGCCTAATTTTTTTCTGCGAAAATACTAGGTATTCTTTTTTCCATTACACCTAGTGTAACACTGAGAGAGCATTTAATTCTGACTGCTTCTTCTACCTTAAGATTAGTTTTGTTTGTCTGAGGAAAAGCACTCGAGGGCTATCTACCTTAGGATAGCCTTTCTGGGCAACTTTCTAAGGGTTGGTTTGTTTGCTTTAGCTGATTATAAAAAAACACACTAGGGCTATCTGCCTAAAAGAAAGGATGCCTTCGTGAAGAACTTTCTAAGGGAAACTGGCTAGTATACACGTTACACTTGGGGAAAATCATAAAAACGCTCATGCAGCCAGCTTGTTCGCCTCGAATAGAACCCAGATCGTAACAACCTGCGTTCTCGATTTTACCAATCGGCCGCTGGTGGCGATTTTCTAAGGGAAACTGGCTCGTATACATATTACTCAGGGGAAAAACAATGAAAACGTCCATGTAGCCAGCTCGTTCGCCAGCACTCAAACCCCGAACCGAACTACCAGTGTTCAGCGGCTTTACTACTCGACCACCAGTGGATTCTTAAGATTAAAGGTCATTGAGTTACATAACTTATAAAGCCCAAATATCCAGAGGTATTTCCAAAGGATTTTCCGCTTTTCGAATTTAAGTTTCAAAAGAAGTTTAGAAAATGTTGTAAAGGAGAGGATTGCGAAACCACCATAACTGGTTCGATGCAAAAGCCATACTTCGTAACAAAAGCCTTATTTCTAAAAAATAAATCATTTTTAAAGTAAAGGCTCATAAAAACGCAAGCTCATCATATATTTTAAATGGATAAAACACGTGCATGGAATAGTAAATGAAGAAGATTGAAAATATAATAACTTACTAAAGAAAACTATATTTATTGAAATTTTATTTTTTTGCATGAATTCAAATGGACAAGGATGTGATGTGTTACTTTAATTATATCAATACTTGAACATTAAGCTATAAAACTGATAGATATTAAATTTTAATATTCATATTAATCAAAATGTATATTTAAACGTTATGTGATACCTTCTGAAAACTTTAATTGATAAATTTGTGGTCTTACTGATTTAACATAAGATTACAACACGGTATATTAGTATATGATTTGTATAACGCCTTCTAGTGTATGATGACATCCTCACATTGTATATAAAATAATCTACTAGAAATATACATTTAAACTCTCAATTATCAATGAGAGAATTATCTATATACCTCTTGGGGCAAATTATTCTAAGATGAGTATCTGGGAAGACATCGCTCCCCCTAAAGTCAACAGCCCTCGTGAACCAAATCAACCTTAACAAGGAATCTTAGGTCTAGAACTACGAGCAGCCTTTTAACTGCTCTTATGCTTTTGAAACATCCTGTATATGATGTGTATTAGATTCAACTTTACTATATATAAAATTTAAATACTTTAATTATTTTCGTTGCATAAATTTAATGACTAGAAAAGGCACTCTTTGCAGCAGACATTAATACGTATATCATGAACAACATTCTATTTACCTATACCTATCTTTGTCCGAAGTTTATCATAGAACAAGACAATATGTTAACTAAATAATGGTTGATTTTTCATTTATTATTACGAACACGTAACTGAAATTTTGCAGGCAAAAATTAATGTTGTTTTAGTTAATGTGTAGAATTCAAGAACCGAAAGTTGTCTGTATTTCTGATTCCAATGTTTTACTTCTATAAGCAACCCTTTAGAGATATCTTTGAACGAGTTATCTTTCAGATTAAAAAAATAATCCGAAAGCTTTCAGATTTTATATTATGACCAAAGGGTTTTTTATTTCTTTACACGTATAAACAAGTTTCGAAAGCCTTTGGACTAAAAATATTTTAGCATATCTTCAGAATTTCCGACAGAAAGTCTCCCGCGATAGAGACAAAAATATTTTATTCCGTACAATAATAAACCAAATTCGAAATTCAAGATCAGAGCTTCCAAGTTTCCATATTCAGCTGGAGAATTAGGTTATTCAAAATTTGATGGCTCTAGGTATAGTTGTTTTTTTTTTTTACAATGCGAGAAACATGCATACACTCGTGAAGATTCTTCTTTATATAATTTTTTAAGTATAATACAGGGCTACAATATTTGGTGGCAACAGTTTGAAAAGTGATAGCAGTCGTTTATAGTTATTCGACGCAAAATGCCATTTCGAGACTAATAGCCCTTCCGGGGGCTAATGTCCCTTCGGGCTAAAAAAAAAAAAAAAAAAAAAAAAATGTTTGATACCGAATAAACTCAAGTTTGTTACAAACCACAAACATTCAAAAAGAAATAGAAATAACTTTACTTTTTTCAGAAAAGCAAAACATTGCTAGCAAAGTCAATATGGAGCAGATATAAAAAAAAATATTAAACTTAGATAGAAAGTACAATCAACTACCTACAATTAAGTTTATCATTGCATTAAACGCATATTTCGCTCTAGCAGTTTTGAAATATGAAAATTATGTTAATTTATATTTGGTAATTGTGGGCAGTTACAGAATGATTATTTACAGTTAAATAAGAGAAAAGATTCATGAGCAAACATTTTACAAATATTTTCATATAAATAAAGAAATGCTTTGCACAAATTTGGAGCCGATATAGCAGTTAGTGACGCAGACAGCCGTACCAATGGGCATAGTTCAAACTCAGGAAAAACATAGTTATTTGTAAGTGTATATTGTATGTGCGGCAAGGGGTACACATATTACACGGTGAGCTGAAAGTCTTCTGGAGACGTTGATGGTAGGGTTAGGAGTCTTTCAAATTTCTCTCAAAAGTGAGGCGGAACTGCAAAATTAGTGCCGTGGGACTGCACCTGTATGACAAATGGCGAAATTTTGCTGGTGGAATCCTTAGTCATCAAATACAACAGTTTTTGCTCCTCAAATTTGCTTCCAAAACATTTAAACTGGTAAGAGTATGGAAAAATTACTATTAAATTTTGAGTATATCTCCGTGAATGTTTTATTCCTGTGTAAGGAATTATTGCATTCCTTCATACATATTCTCATATTGTAAATGGCTAGCATGTCCAGCTAGAAATGGAGGATTCGTGATGCGAATCCTTGCAACTTAAATTCTCATATATACGCTTTTAAAACTCTAATTCCTCTAAATATATGGCATTAAGTTTCTAATTTTTTAAGCATAATGACTGTTTCAGTACTTGGAGTTTTTCCTCATCGAGGGTTTCCTCATCATCTGAACAGTTTAACTCTACTTCTACAAAATCTTCTCCATTAACGGCGTTAAATCTTTTTTATTTTTAAATAATTTAAACTTTATTATAAAAAACTACTTTCACAAACTTATTATTCTGCATCTAGTTTTGCAATACATTCCTTAACCACACCGTTAATTCTGAATTTATATAATTCTGCCTCTTTTCAATAAAAATTTTACCAAAGGTATAGAGAGACCTAGGATAAAATATTGAAATAGAGCTACCCTATAGACACATTTTTTGTACAATTTATCCTATCTAGAATTTATTATCATAAAAAATTTTGAAATAAAAGTTTAGTACGAATTAGTGGACTTCAGTCTTTTTTTTAGGACCATCAAATAAACTAATTGTTAAAACTGTGAGCGGATAGTAAATTCATATTGATTAAATCTCAACTAACAGACTAAATAACGTCCAACTCAGTTCAGCAAGGGAAAGCAATCACTTTCGTCTGTAAACATTTTTCAGCTATCAGTCAAAGCATAGAGAACAGGTGCAAATGATTAGCAGCAAATCGGAATATTTCCTGAAAAATCACTGCCATAATGAAAGGAATGAATATGTTACTGACAGCTGTTCAGAATACACTTTTTCTTGCCCCGAATTACACATATAAAAGACAAGTGTTAACCACGAAATAAGCAATGCAAAGTAAAATTTCAAGAGAAAAATGAATTCGTTTTATCTTACTTGTTTCATCGTCGTGTTGGTAAGTTGTTTCAAACCGTTAAACTTTCATAAATTTTAGAATTATAAAACTTATTTAGTTACTTATAATGAAAACAATTAAAGAACATTTTAAAGGGTCCAAGTTTCAACGGTCGCCTAAAAAGCCTCTTTTAAAGTTTAATAGGGTTTATCAGTACACATGTCTCAGGCGGAATAGTGAAGTCTTTTTTTAGAATACTACATGAATATATGTTTAGACTAAAACGTAAACATCATATATATTTCTCTATATTTTAAGGTAAAAATATATATTATCTAATTTTAAAAAAATGTTTAGGAGGATTTTAATTGGATACTTCATGAATTAAATGCTTTGTATTTAAATCAATCAGATTAAAATGTTTAAAAATATATATATATATAATATTCTTAAGAAATGCATCTCTTACTTTTAAATACTTCAGTTTTTTTTGCCGTAACAGACAGATTAAAATTTGAAAGATTAAATTTCATACATTTTGCCGAATGGCAACATACAGAAGGATAAGTAAATGCATTTTACAACAAACCGCGTTCAAAGTGAATAACCCAAGAACGTGTTTCAAGATTAATAGTCCTTACTGAAATAGTAACTTGAGCATTTCTTCAACATTCAGGACACGTATCAGATTTTAATGGCTGCAATTTAATATGAGGATTTCGTCGGGGGTCATATAGATTTGTATTGGAATTGCTATACAAGTAAAGGAATATGACAATTTAAAATTCTCATTTTAATTCTAACCTCAATGAAGTGTACAATTTTTTGCCTTTATATTTTAAATTTGGAGCAAAATAATGTTTTTATAATTAAAAAACAAAAGTTAGAAGTCCGCAGAGGAGAGAGGGTGATTATACAATTAAATCAGCAAGTCCGAACAGTTGTGAAAATAAACCTTAGTATGACCGTAAGATTTTCTGTTGAATAAAGGTCAGATAAAAATGGCCTCAATTCATATGATATCTTACATTAAGTGTTTTTTCCATGCTCAATAAAAATGCTTCATTAAATTTTTAAAAAAATTCAGTGCCATGGCAAAAAAACTTTTAATTTCGTTTAGTTACGAAAAGCTTTCGAAGGTTAAAACTATATCAAATCAAAGACCATTTCAGAGAGAAACATTGTCAAGTTTTCAAATTTAGACTTTGTTTTTCGGAAACCTTTCAAGACGGGGGGGGGGTGGATGTAGTTGGCCAGACCAACACGGCTAACTCGCATAGATAAGCCAGTAAGGCACCTTGGGTGAAAAAGTCTTACGATGGAATAAAATCTTCTGAAGACTTGAAAGATGTGAAATTTTTTTCGAGTTTCAGAATAATAATCTAGCATTTAACAAAATCCTGCAAAAGCGAGAAATTTGATGATGATGAGATTTATTCTGGTTAGGATTCAATCTACTTTAAAACTTAGTTAAATTCAATCTACTTTATTCATTACAGCGAATAATTTAAATATTATCCCGATTTTGTAGGGGATTTCCATGGTATCCTGTCAACAAGAATGTGGCCGAAAAACATGTAAAGAAAATCAATGCTGTGTTCAAATGGGAAGGTTAAATATCTGCAGACCCTATCAAAAGCTAAGTAAGTAGCATTTGAAAATTAACTAAGATCGTAATTTTTTTTTCCAAATGCATGAACAACCCCTATTTTACACTTTAATATTCGTGTAATAAACCGCACGCCATACTGGATAGAAGCAAATCAAACTAATTAAAGTAATCTTGAATGTACACAGTATATTCTGACCGAGATAGGATACGTCTATTGGCCTTTGTTCAACATTCCAGTTTTTTTAAAAAATAACATCTGGGAATTTGCTTCTCATTAAATATGATTAAAAGATGGAAAAAGAGATTGAGTCATTAGACATATCAGTACCTCACCCATTTTTTATTGTTTTAACATTTACCTTAGAAACAGCAATGAAAATAAATTTCATTTGTTCACATAGTATCCATCATTACATAAATAGAAAAATGCGTTAAAGTTCCTGTTTCTGAATATTTTTTTGGCAGAGGGAAAAGGGGAATCAAATAATCAGAGTAAAGATTTTTATTCGCTTCGTAACTGGCAGTTTAAATGGTCTTACAGCATTTCCTGGCCTAACAATTTCTCTTTATAATAATACTTTGTAACAACATTTCTGCAATATTTCAGATACCTTAGACACGAGATCCCAAAAGTTGCCGACTGGTTAAGACAGCTGAATATTTCTGAGTCCGATCGCAGGCGAACGAGCTGGCTGCATGGAAAGGTTTGCTGTTTATCCCCATGTGTAACGTGAATACGAGCCAGGTTCCCTTAAAACGTTCTCAACAAAATCCTTCTTCTTTGGTAGAGAGCTCTCAAGTGATTTATTAAAATAACGTTATAGCCTAACTACCCTTAGACACAGATTTGAATGTTTAATTTTTTTTTAACCTTGTGTTGCAAACTATCACACCAACTCTGAAGTACACTTACACCGTATTAACTGTTTTTCATAATTCTTATCTGTAAAGCTTGAACAGTAATATAACTAAGATATGTATAATTATGTATTCTTTTCCATTCTATTTTATTTTATTTTCTTGTTATTATTAACGTTCTTATTCTGTTTTATTTCCCTGTTCTTATTCTTTATTATTCAGTATTTATAATAACGAATAAAAACCAGACAAACAGAAACATTTCAGAACCGGACAGAATCTTAGGCTACAGCAATTTCTTTTTTTTATTATTATGTAAGTGTAATCCAGAGTCTTTTACAAGTAAGCTCATCTCTTCACACAAGGCTTGCAACCTATGAGCATTATAACAACCTTCTGAAATCATTAAAAACGTTCTTTAATAATTTAAGTTTGATCAAGATTTACGCATATTGTATATTTCTTCTGAAAGCATAAAATATTTATAAATTTTCTTTAAACAGAAGATAAATTTTGCCCACCGGCTACAAACTGATAAAACTGCCGCGTCTCCTGGTATGCCTAGCAAGTTGAAAATTAAATATCATGGTGATGATTTCAAGTTTAGATCTCGATTTGGATGAGCATTTGTTACGTCTTTTCATTACCTTTGTGGATGTAGTCGTCCGGAGTTGACAAAAAATTATTTTCAGCTCGTCCTGCCAATGAGCGCCCCCATAGCATATTCGCAAACATTGGGAAAAAAAAACGCTAATAGACAGTAGCGTATGTTGACCGATAGTTTTTAAACATGCTTAGTTGCCTGTTATCAAATCAGGAACATAAACGAATGAATCAGATCTTCTTTCAAATGTATCAGAACTATTTCCTTAATTCTAAGGCCCACCAGTGGCCGAGCGGTAATGTCGCTGAACACTGGTAGTTCGGTCCGAGGTTCGAATCCCGCGAACGGGCTGGCTGCATGGATGTTTTCGTGGTTTTTCCCATGTGTAACGTGTATACGAGCCACTTTTCCTAAGAAAGTCCTCCACGAAGGCATCCCTCCCCTTAGGCAGATAGCCCTCGAGGCTTTGCCGTAATTAAATAACCTAATCTAACCTTAATTCTAAGAAATTTAGAAAAATTGCAATCGCCCAAAATTCTGAAGAATTTATACGGTTCTTTGGCATTTTGGAAACAAAGAAAAAAGGTGGCTAATAATTTTTCCGAGAAATAAAATACTTATCATTATTTTCAGTTGAATTTAAACTTAAATAAGTTCCGATATTAACCTAATATGCTTAGTTTTTTTTACACAGGAAATGAGAATTTCAAGACGTATAATAATCATGAAATCAGAATTAAGAACAAATAAGGGGTAACAACCTTTTTGAATATGTGTCAGAACTAAGAGCGAATTTAGAAGATATTGCAAATTTAACATACTCTCGGCTGCACAACATTATATTTATTTTGCTTTAGCGTCCATTTTTATTTTTCAACATTTTAGCCCAGAAGAACTATTATTCTCAAAACGGGATTTTGCATTTAATCATTATAAAAGCCTGAATCACTTTTCAAATAGTTGCCATCAAATATTATCGTTGACTGTTATATTTAAAGAAATTTAATAATGAAGAATTTTCATGAATGCATGCATGTTTTTCGCACTGTGAAAAAACAACGGTATCTAGAGCAATCAAATTTTGAATAACGTAGTCCACCTCCAGACTCTAGACACCTAGAAGCCTGAATTTTGAATTTCGAATTTGTTTTATTATGCATTTCATAAATTGTAAAACTTTAACGAATTTATATTAACAAATCAATGATTTTAAAGCGAGCAGTGGCAACGCTGTACTGGAAAATATATTTTAATCTCCAGCGCACGAGAGTGTCTATCGTAAAATTTATTATCCAAAAAAAATATTTTTTTTTGCATTTGTTCCCCCCTTTTTTTGTTTGTTATTGAAAGAGAGAGAAAGATGACTATTCTATGAAACGAAACTATGAAAACTATTGTGTAAAAGTCATAATATTTAAGTCAAGCATTTAAATTGAGTTTTTCTAAAGGAAACAATTTTTCAGACTTGTGAATTTTGCTTGAAGATAACAAGATATTGATTTCATTCATTTAACGATGTGAGGTTGTAAGACATTATCGCATATCTCCGTATATCCTTTCAAGGTGTAAATGGTTAGCATGTCCATGAGTTCCGTTTCCTTCCCTGCTTTGAAGAACCTAATAGCCTGTTTAAGGTTTTATGCGGATTCATTACAAGAAGATTTGATGTTGTACATAACAGTTAACAATACATTCTAATTTTCATAAATTCTTCACTTCCTTCCATAAATTCTTAAATTTTCTTCACATGCAATGCTATTGCATACACTAATTTTGAACGACTGTTGTTTAGTTGATTATATAAAAATATGTAAGAATATTTACCAATCGACGAAAGGTTGTTTCCATTCATGGAGGATTTTTCTAGGTGTGATTGGGTAGTATTCATATTCTACATAGAAAACAGTGTTTAGTTTTTATTACGTTTAAAGTCAGTTCGATCAGTCATTGCTTAGCAGTCTTTTCATTCGGTTACAAGAAATATATTGGAGGAGGAAAAAGTAACTAGTCAACTCCTGATTCGCCGGAAGTATATTAATAGGATTGTGGGTTCACCAGATTAGGTCTGAAACAAGCAAAATTTTCTTATTATTACAGAATGATGGGAAAATCTCTGTCACAAATCATTCAGCGTAAAACGAAATTGTCTACAGAAAATACAAAAGGGAAAGAAAAATTGCGTGGAAAAACATCGACACGTAGAAGTTTTTCAGATGAATTTTGCCAAAAAAAAGTGAGAAGTTTTAACCCACTTTAAAAAATAGTTTAAACTCAATGACCTGTTCAAGTTAACCTATAAATTTAGTCCTTTAGTTATAATGTTTTCATTTTGAATGAATTCAGTTCTTTATTTAACTGAGAGATAACCGTGGTCCTAAATTTACTTGTTCAGTTTCTTTCCTTTTTTATAAGTTATGACGACTCTGGATTATTCAGAACTCTAGACTTCATATTTTAATTGATGTAAATAATAATGTTAGAAAACTGGAATTTTATTTACAATAATAATGCAAGCCTCCAAGGTTACATTTGCGTAAAATTTGTAAGTATAAAGTTAGGAATAAAAAAGTAAATAAAAGTCCAAAAATTAAAACTTTCAAATAATTAATGTAACTTAATTTAACAATAAATATCCCCTCCTCAAATTTTCGTCTAACTTTCAGATAGCATATTATTTTAAACTTATGTTCGAGATTTATTATTTTAACTGTATGTTACAGCTGAGAAAAGTGAACCTTCACTTAATTTTCAATACTCCTCTTTTTTTTTTTTTTTTTTTTTTTTTTTTTTTTTTTTAAAATTTCAGATCGCTTGTGTGGATTAAACCTTTTATGTGACTGTGAACAAGGGCTTGAATGCGTAAGTAAAAATTTCATTAAAATTTCTAAATACTTATAAATAAAATAAATATTAATTTCATTTTCATTAAAATCATTGTTTTACATTCATGTATTTTGTAAACATTTCAAACTTTCCAATACAAACCGATTTTAACCCGGTAAGATAAGCAAAAATGTGATTCAAGAAAGGAGACTAGTTCATAAATATGAACTTATTTTGTTGTTGTTACTTATGCTCACTTGTCTGACAGTAACATCAGCCCAAGCCCACGAAATTCCTCTTCGTGCGCAAGATGCTCCTGTCGCTGGCAACAGCCTTGAGCACCTTACAGGTGACAGTGCGATTTAGCTCACTTCCGACCCCAATTTTGATGGAGAGCACCCCGGGGGGGGGCGAAGAATCCGAGAGTCTTCACCTTTCTCCCCTTCCACTAAACCATACGAGAGAACTTTCGGCTCGCTGCATATTCGGAGTGCCGCCATGCCGCACCGACACTATACATTTACAAGCATCCTTCTCCGGGACTCGAGCCCGGGCCCTTCGTTATAGCAGTCAGCGACGTTAAACATTCTACTGGGCGGCATATGAACTTATGGTATGTCTATAGGTATGTCTATATTGAAGGAAGAGTTCTATGGCATTTCTACTAGAATGTTTGGAAAGTTCAGAAATAATATTTCAGAATACGTTCGTGTTTAAAATTTGATATTTTGAGAAAATTATGTTACAAAATCTTTAGTTTCTAAGCTGTTTGACATAAAGGCACTTTCTTGTCGTGGATAATATTTTTAAAATACAGTCTGCATTATTTATAAACTGAAATAAAATCATTATTCTTGATTGAGGTGTAGATGACTGAATTTGGAATGTTTGAGAAACATTTACATATTGTACAAAAGATATTTGATCTGCTCATAAATTTGGAAAAGGCGATTCCACAAATATAGGCTTAAAAACAGGAATATAAAATATATTCAGGTAATACAGCAACAAATATTGCTACATCGAGAATTATTTCAACAACTAACAGAAACAATTATGAGTGTTTCTGTCATCAATGATTATTTAAACAACATTAGATCACATTTGACCTTTACGGAGGTTTGAGATACCCTCCCGCCGTGCAGTTGCAAATTCACATATAATATTTACTTCCTCACATATATTCAGTTCCCCATGAACTCGAGCGGATTAACTGAAACTTGTCTAAAAAAATGGTAAGTTTGTTTATTGGGAAAATTAATTTATCATCACCAATCACAGCATAAACAAAACTTCTGCGGGAAATTCAAAAAAGGAGATGTGTGGGACACTCAGTAGTCATAACAGACGATGTTACAGTACTTAGGAATCATGTCTACCCTCAACAGTACTCGGTTTAATTGGAGATATAATTTACATGACTTATTCTCTAAAATAAACTGTTCAAAAATAGTGATAAATTGTTAACAGTATTTTTTCTCTTAATTAATTATAAGGCTCTATCCTCTTTCCTGTGTTTTGTCCTTCTTCCTGCTGACAGATTAACAGGGATTTTAGGTTAACCGTGAACGTCGTCCTGGTGTTATCCTGATTAATCGGGAATCTACTGTAAATTGATATTAATAGTGTACTGTTTATCAGAAGCTGTTGGTGATCCTGAATAATTACCATGTGATAATACATAAAACGCTCTTTTCTATAATGTTTTTAAAAAAGTACCTTATATATTACAAACTGAATTTATTCTTTTTTCGACAGTTTCTAAAAAGCTTTTTTTGATTCAATTTTGAATTATCCCAAGAGCAGAAAAATAGAATATATTTCGGGGATGATTGAAATTTTTAAAAACAATAGTTTTCGAGAAAGTGATTCTGAATCGGAGAGAACGCATATTCAGCACAATCTTTAAATTTTCCGAATGTGTACTAAATACAATAGATATGTATTATATTACCTTAAACATACTACGTTTGAAAACTTAACTTGAGGAATGAGGTTAAAAAGGAGAAAATTCTCTCAAAGGAGGTATTGATTCTCGATTATCTTCTTTAAACAGGTGGTATGTTTCTTTCTTGCACACCCATAGATAAAATGCATGTCAAATGATTTTAGACCATTTTCAGTCTTATCGTGTGTCGTTTTATACAACAGATTTCGCCGTTGTGTCTTATTTTTGTAATAATTTTTCTTTTAATTTCAGACGCTGAAGATTATTTATCATCTTTACATTTCTGCCAAATATTTTTGAATCACGCCGTATTTGAAGAATATTTGCCAAAAATATAATTTTATTTATGGAAATGTAGAATCCAAACATAAGTAAATTTCACACAAAATTTTCACTTCAACTAATTAGACTACAATAGTAAGATTTTAAAAACGTTGGCATTAAAACGTTCTATATAAAAATAACATTTTAATAAAACTTGACGTCGCATTTGGGGCAACTGCATGAGTAACTGAGGTAGACTAAGCATCGGACAGTAAAAAAAGAACCAATGTTGTATTTATTTTTATATTCTAAATATTTGAGTACAAATACAATGCTTTAAAAAGTGCTTTGTATAACAATTCATCTATTTTAATACACTTTTCTCTCTTAGGTAAATGAGGGATTTTTTTCACGATGCAAACGGCCAACAAGCACGACAGAAGGAACCACTGCTGAAACTACCGTTTCAACGGAAGAGACCACTGAAGTTCCACCTGAAGTGACCAGCGAAACCGTTTCAACTGAAGAAGTTACCACAACTACAGAAATCTAATGGAAGCCATATTTTAAAATGTAATATTATTTTAGTTCTTGAATAATAAAGCATCTTCTTTCATTTTGGTTTGTTCTCTTGAAACGGCCATTATGGCCGAATCGGTTATTAGATCGTTGAACGCTGGTAGCTGGAGCTGGCTTTAAATCCCGTCGAATCATTTGGTTGATTGTGTATTTTCATCTTTTTTCACACTTGTGGCGTGAATATAAACTGGTTTCCTGCAGAAAGCGCTCAGTGAAGGCGTCGCTGCTCTCAGATATTAGTACTTTCCCGTACTAAAATCATCAAACAATTTTGCTAAAAAATTAGCATTTTCTACTAAGAATAAATTTAAAGGAAATTCTTCTGTCTAAATTCTTTGATTATCTGCGCTTTAGTTGCTTTAACTAATCTTACACAACAAAATAGCCAATTCATCGAATACACTTCCTTATTCATGGAAAAATTAATATATTTTATCAGCATTAAAATACTTCAAGAAACTCAAAACGTAAACCTCTTTGGCAAGTTCGACATAAATGATGAACGGAAGAAAAATAAAGTGTAAATATATTCTCAAGGATTTCTTCCAACTAAGCCTCATGGGAGAATTTGGAAACCTAATATAATTCAAGATGAGGTAGAGAAAAGAAAACAGAAATACAATTAACTAAATAAACTTTGGACACAAATTACCTTGAAAAAAGAGGACGCAAATTATAAATGCACTTCCACACCAAAGCGGCTGAGTGGATCAGAGCTCTGAATGCACTAATAGTTCGATTCGGATTTGAGGTTATCGGATTAACTAATGCACATGTTTATTGTTTTCTACATGCGTGACTTTAAATACAAGCCAATTTCTGTCGGAAAGTCCTTCATGAGCAGTTTACCCTCATTTTCTTTGCCTTAATTAAACAAATACTCCATAAAAGCCATTAGTTGTACTTTTAAGTATTTCTAAAAGCTAGCTACTGTTTTTATGCAAAACGTTTAACACGACTTTTTAAAAATTTAGTGCATTAAAATAAATTAGTGAAAAGTACAATAGTATTTATTTCGCAAAGATACTTACACAATGAGATAGCTCTTTATCCTCGATAACCGATGGCTATCCGCTTAATATCACTGGAGGCGGACAGCGTATGATACTCACTGACAGAGCAAATGGCATATTACTGAAAAATCGTCTGAATATTTCATTCATAATAAGTTTAACTGAATTCGTTTTATTTCAGCTGAATGTGCATTACTTATCTACTAAATATTAATCACTACCAGAGGCGACCACTGTTTCTCAAGGAAAGTATTTCTGTATTTAACACCCCAGCTGACAATTTATTGGGTCTAATAGTAATTACACAGGGACAAACAAAGCTTAACTCAGATATAGAAACAGATAGTACATACGTTTGAGAAAACACAAGTTTGGGAACTGTTACAAGACAAGAATTTCAGTACCTTTACATTGCATTTACTTTGCCAGGTATGTTAATCAAGAAACCAATATATTAATATAGTAATAATGATGATATTAAAAAAAAGAAAATAAAAATTTAAATAGCAATAATTGTACAGTAATAATAAGAAGAATTTAAGTGCAAGCAATGAGTATAATAAGATTAAAGTAATATATCTCCAGCATATTGTGCTTGAAATTCGCTTCAATGTCTATACAGAATAAGTAAAATAAAATTAATTCATTAAGTACAATATATAAGTCATGAGGAAAATGTGTTTGAAACATGTATCCATACTTTACTATACTTTTATTCTTGTACAGTAACCGATTACTTTCTCTAATTTTCTTTATATCTCCTTTTTATTTTTGTAATGATATCGCTCTTATTGTGGCCAGCACTGATCATCAAGGGTACGTAGATGTTCATTAAATTTGCCATTGTAATTCAAGAGATAGTTGTCTTAGTCCTTATCTCCCCGCAATGACACAGATCAGTGTCACGCAGATGGAAGCGTTTCAAGTACATAGGAAAAAGCCCGTTACCCTGTGAAATATTGCGTTAGGTATCCATTAGAAAATTTGAATTCAGAGCTCACTTTGGGAAAGAATTTAAATGTCCTTCTCCCTGTGGATGATTCTCCCAACGCAACTGCCACTGCTCAAATAACTTTTCCCTTGTTCCGTTTTTGAGAAAAGAGATTGAGAATTTAATTGGTTGCTCCTTGAGGTTGGTGTTGTTAAACGCTGTTTTAGCTAAGCTGTCAGCTTCCCCATTACCTCTAACTCCAACATGGGCTGTGATCCAGTTAAGATGTGGACTGTTTATTAGTGAAAGTCGTAGAAGCAGTTTTCTGGTATTAATTACCTGGTCACTGCTTTTCAGCAAGGCTGGAGACTGAATCTGTATAAATTAATGTGGTACCAGGAAGATTGTTACATGCGTACAAGATGGAACTTTTAATTGCCACAATTTGGCCTGGAAGACTGTTGTTCTCGTTTAATCGTCTCGACCTGGAACAGGTAATATATACGTCTTCTATAACACAGAAGGCACTGCCAGTACCTCTCTTGGTTTTGGAACCATCTGTGTATATAGAGATATTGTTCTCGACTAGGGGTATTGACAGGAATATTGACTGGGGTTATTGGTATATGGGATATTGTTCTCGGTGTGTAATCTGTCAAGTCTATATGTGCTGGATGTCCTATTAACTGTTGGTGTCTGGATTCATAGTCCGAGTAAATGAGACTATGTCCCCATAACTCTGTATCGATCTCATGCTGGAGAGCTAGGGCTATTTTTGTTTCACTTTCCGCTACCAAGTTAAGCGGATGAAGTCTGTAAGCACCTGGAGAGCTGAAGTTGGCGTAGTTTTATAATCGTTGCAGATTATTAGAAGTTGTATCCTCTGAATGGTCAGGTGTTATTGTCTCGTGCTGTTTGTGAGATCACTTCGCCAGCTTGCAACTCCATAAAGAATGATTTTTTCTGTAATAGTACTGTACTATGGTCTCAAATTTTGGGGCTTACTCCTCACTGCCTCGCCGTGGTACGGAGCATGGAGCTAAGACATTTTGTTTTACCTCCTTGAGATGTGAGGGGCCTGAGAGCCTATTATTGATGGTAAATCTGAGGTAGTTTAGATTAGTGACACATTTAATAGGCGAGCCACAGAGTTTGACTGACTGATTTCTTCTAAGCCTACCTTTCCTACCAATGAGGAGAAGTTTAGTTTTAGACGCCGAGATCTGCATCTTCTGTTGTTTAGTCCAATTTGCTAAGATATCGAGGAGATACTGGGTTCTCGATTAAGTATTGCTCCTACCAGCCACTACGAAACCAAAATCGTGTGCATAGGTTTGGAGTTTGACATATGTATAGTTTTCAATGTGTTGGAATGCTGAATTGGCTATAATATTTGATAGTGTGGGCCCCAGGCATGAGCCTTGAGGGAAGCCTCTGGCCAAAATGTTTATCTAGACCTCCGTCAGAGGTGATCTGGATTTTTCTGTTTTGTAGGCATAATTTGATCAAGTTAATTAATTCGAGGGCACACCTCATATCATCCAGGCAGCCGGTTATTACTTATGTACTAACACTAGGCATTGCATTCGAAAGCAGTGTTGGAGACTATACAGGGTGCTCAAAAGATCTTTGCGAAACTTAATATGCTGGTCTGCCATACCATGACAGACAAGATTTACATAGGACTTGGGCCCGAAAATGGGAACGGCGATCACTAAAGGACAATGACCGCCAGAGGGCTTTTGGACAGTGGAAGTGTAATCATTTCAAGCTAGGACGTTACAAAAGAAAGATGAATCGGCTTACTGAGTTTTTTATGGGCATTTTATGTGACATTTTGCGGATAGAGTGTTGCTGGATCTGATTGTTGACATTCCAGTAGCTACACGCCCAAACATCTGGTTTTATCCTGCTGCTGCGCCTTCAATTTTAGCAGCGCTGTGCAGTAATACCTCGATAGCACATATCCTGATCTTTGAATTGGCAGAGACGGACCAGTCGTATGACCACCGCGATCCCCTGACCTTACCTCCCTGGATTTCTACTTGTGGTTATACATGAATTTCACACATGAAACAGAAACATTGGACATTGATCTCGTCGTTACTATCGTAGAAGCGTCAGCATGTGTCCTGGCTATTTTATTTTACACCTGGCTATTTTGAGCGTGTCCGTGAATCCATGCGTCGACGCTGTGAAGCATATATTGTGAGGAATGGAAGGAATTTTGAACATCTATTATTTAATCATATTCTTTCATAAAATTCATTTTAACACCTCTTTCGACATGCTTTGTATCTTCCCCTCTAGGCTTGCGAACTTTGCTCGTTAGGGGATGCCTTTCGTATTTTCGGGCACATACAATTTATTAACATAAAACGGGTAGTTTTATGTTAATAAATTGTCAGGCAGAAATAATCCCCGCCCAAGTCAATCCACTTCTGCCATCAGGCTGAGTCCTGTAGCTTCCAGAGGGCTTTGGTAAACCAACCTGTGGGGGGTTCCCTACGGGCAACTGCATGCAATTACGCAGAAGATTCAACATGTTGGCCCCTGACTGCGCCCTTCATCTTGTCAAATAAGGTGTAGTCTGAGGGGTCCAGATCGGGTAAGCAACACAGTGACGCCCAATACCTCGAGAGTATAGCGGGTGTTCTTGCTGGCGTAGGGACGTGCTTTGTCGTGCTGCAACAACTAGTGCCGTGCCCATTTGCCCTGATGGTGCTGTTGAATGCTCCGTCGCAGCGTTCTGGGAACATCTTCTGCATCCAGGCTCCAGCCAGTTCACTAGACGAATACCCTGGACATCCCCGAAGACTGTTGCCATTTGTTTCTGCACGTTCAATGCCGGCCTAGACATCTTGAGACGCAGGCTTGTTGCATACTTCCACTCCATGGAATCATGCTTTTTTCCGGGAGTGTCGCGCAAAACCATGACTCGTCCCCCGTACCAGGCGGGCAAAGAAGTCATCTGGATCGGCATCTGTAATGCAAGAAGTTCTTTGGAGATGTCGACTTGCTTCGCCTTTTTTTTGTGGTGTGAGTGCATGAGGCACCCACTTTTCACACACCTTTGTCTTCTTCGAATCACCA